TTTTCCATTTTCATCTTTCAATTCCCACATTGAATGTGGTGCCTGCACAGAGGCCCTGGAAGGGATGTGTGCTTCTCAGCAGCACATTCCCAGGTGCCCTGGGGTGGGGGTCACTTCTGCCATAGCTCGATTCCCAGCAGTTTCATTTCCATAGAATGGTATTTTCCTGATGTCACCCCTCAAATCTGGAGACTCTGGATTTTCCAGAGTTCTTCACATGAGTAAGTACAGACTGAAAAGTTATTTTTGTTTGGATGAGTGATTAGGAGCGAGGGCTTTGGAGACTTTCCAGGCAGCCTGGATTTGAACCTTGACTCTTCTCTTACAAACTGTGTGACTTCGGGTGAGTTATTGATTTCCCTCCACCTCAGTTTCATCTCCTATAAAATAGGGATAACAATCACACCAAAGACCATGGCAGTGGCTCACATCTGTAATCCCAGCACTTTGGGAGGCTGAGGTGGGAGGAGCACTTGAGACCAAGGGATTAGAGACTGGCCTGAGTGACATGGGCAAAACCCCATCTCTACCAAAAAAATAAAAAAATTAGCCGGGTGTGATGGTGCACCCCTGTAGTCCCAGCTACTTGGGAGCCTGAGGTGGGAGGATTACCTGAGCCTAGGGAGGTCAAGGCTGCAGTGAGCCATGATCATGCCACTCCACTCCAGCCTGGGCAACAGAGCAAGACCCTGACTCAAAAACAAAAACAAAACCAACCAAGTTCAGATGGTTGTTGTAAGCATTAAATGAGTTTGTGCATGTTACACAGAGTTACGTCTGGCCCAGAGTGAGTGCTGTGTAGGGTTAGCCAGTCTTGTTACTACATTCAGGACACTGTTCCTCAGATTGCAGGTCTCCTTTCCTCTGAGCTGCTCTTTCTCTGTTCCATTCTCCTCCCAGATGCACACATGGCCAGGGGCTCAGCCCTCTGTTCTCTGGCATGAGGCTGACTGTGGCCACAGCATCAGTGTAGGTTTTTCTCATGGCTGCATAACAAAGTGCCTCAAACGGATGGCTTACAACCACAGAAATGAGTTCTCTCGTAGTTCTGGAGGTTGGAAGTCTGAAATCAAAGTGTCGGCAGAGCCATGCTCCCTCTGAAGGCTCTAGGCTGACTCCTTCCTTGTTCTCCTGAGCTTCTGGTGGCCTGAGGCGCTCCTTGGCTTCTGGAAGCAGAACTCCAGCTCTGCCTCCATGTTCACATGGCCTTCACCTCTGTGTCTCTGTATTTCCTTTTCTGTGCCTTATAAGGACACACTAATTGGATATAGAGCTGCCCTAATCCAGTAGGATCTCATCTTGAGCCTTACCTTGATGACGTCTGACAAGACCGTATTTCTAAATCAGGACACTATTCAACCAACTACAGTGAGTCTCTGAGTTTAGATGTTCTGGGCCAGAAAATCCTCCAGGAACTATGGACATTTTAGAACCACTAGTGTGATTTTGTAGTTCTCCTATGTATCATATAATTTTGTATATTTCCTCAAATTCCAAAAGACCCTAGAACACTCAACACAGACCAATACAGGTAAAGACAGAGAAAGACACACATCCCAAGCCATCCAGCCTTACCTTTCTGACTCACTGGTCTGAACCCCAAGAGAGTGAGGAGGAGGTGGGCAGATGAAGAAAGATACACAGGATGTGAAGCCTTAACTCTGCATACCCCACCTTCCAGCTCCTCTCCCTTTCTGTGTTTGCTCAGTATAGGTGTCCACCAACCAGGAATCTCTTACATGTTTGCTCAAGACCGTTTTTTTCATATGGCGACAGTTTTGACTGTTGGGATGATGTGCCCAACACCTGGGCTATAAGAAAAGATTCAGCAAAGGAACCCATAATGCACATTGGCTGAGGTGTAGAGCACCAGCCATTAGGATCCACCTTGTTGGTTCCCTTGTGGACCCTACTGCCCTCCCCATCCCAGAGGCCCAAGGGTGTGAAGGACTCAGGAGAGGTGGAAAGTTGCACAACAAGACAGAGCCATACCTCATTATCCATACCTCCAAAACAGTGTGGGTACCAGATATCAAAGAGCCAAAAAGATTACACACCAAGTAGATGAGAGGCAACATGCAAATAATGCCTAAAGCTTTAAAAGTAGGAAATAGTGTACTTGTTCTATAACACTATGGACCACACTATAGAAATTGCCTCTTTTTAAATAAGCTTAGGCTCCATGAGGTTAGGGGACTGAGGCTGCCATGTCTAACAGTCTCATTGCAGCACCTGGCCCATAAGAAGCACTCAATGAATACTCCCTGAATGAAGAAATATTAAGCTTTGATTGAGTGCTGAATCTGAGCCAGGCACAGAGTAAATTAAAATACCCCTTGGAAACAATATAGAATTGATTCAGAAATTGAACACCATAAACGTTTATTTCAAACTCCATTAGGAATTAAAAACTTGTGGGCTGGGCGCGGTGGCTCACGCCTGTAATCCCAACACTTTGGGAGGCCAAGGCGGACGGATCTGGAGGTCAGGAGATTGAGACTATCCTGGCTAACACGGAGAAACCCCATCTCTACTAAAAATACAAAAAATTAGCCAGGCATGGTGGCGGATGCCTGTAGTTCCAGCTACTTGGGAGGCTGAGGCAGGAGAATGGCGTGAACCTGGGAGGCAGAGCTTGCAGTGAGCCAAGATTGCGCCACTGCACGCCAGCGTGGGTGACTGAGAAAGACACCATCTCAAAAAAAAAAAAAAAAAAATTAAAAACTTCTGAAGGGTGCACTTGTCAAGTCATGGTACAGATTTCCCCAGACACCCCTGAAAAGCAGCTTCACAGAGCACAGGCTCTAGAGGCAGACCACTTACTTCACATCCCCACTCTACCACTCACAAATTCTGCAATTCAGAACAAGTTTCTTCATTGCTCTATGCTTCAGTTTCCCCATCTGTGAAATGAGAATAACATCAGTACTTACTTCAGGCAATTGTGAGAATTAAATGACTTCATTCATGTAAAGTGTTCAGAGCAGCGCCTCCAATCGCGTAAGCTACCATTATTATACTTATCTCTTGGTTATGTTTGAAGATTGTCTTGTAGTGTGGAGTCCACAGAAGGAGCTCAATAATGTTCACTGACTGAATGACTGAATGGCTACAGCAGACGTCAGGTGTGCAAGAGGACAGTGACTTACACAGAGGCCTGTCCTGTTCCAGTTCAACTCCCGGGGGGCACTTAGTGAAAGGAAGGGAACGGCCCTGTGTGGACATCGCCATGGGGTGAAGCCAGAGTCCAGGCCATTCACTGGAGCAAGAAAGTTCCAGGAAGGCTGGGGCCACTTCTGGGTCTAACCAAAATGCTCTGCTTTGCCCTGAAGATCAGACCAGATTCCGGAGCTGCCCTGATCAGCCTTTGCCCCAAGAGGCACTCAGGAATGCCCCTGGCCTTCGTATAGGGAGGCCTTCCAGATCAGAGATGGCCTATGGGCAGGGGAAATACCCTGAGGCCCATCTATCATGGAGTGAAAATTCCCTTGAAGTGAGTAGAGTTATTAACATGATTTCATAAGAAGGAACTGCAGCTTAAAGAGTGCACTAATTTCACACCTGTAATCTCAGCACTTTGGGAGGCTGAGGTGGGTGGATCACCTGAGGTCAGGAGTTCGAGTCCAGCCTAATCAACATGGAGAAACCCTGTCTCTATTAAAAAATACAAAATTAGCCAGGTGTGGTGGCATATGCCTGTAATCCCAGCTACTCAGGAGGCTGAGGCAGGATAATCACTTGAACCCGGGAGGGAGAGGTTGTGGTGAGCTGAGATTGCACCATTGTACTCCAGCCTGGGCAACAAGAGCAAAACTCTGTCTCAAAAAAAAAAAAAAAAAAAAAAAAAAAGAGACCACTAATTTGCCCAAGACCTCTCAGCTAGAAGCCACTAAGCCGGGACACGAATTCCTGTTGCCATTCTCTTAACTCCTATATGATATTGCTTCCCTCACTTAATGGCCCTATGTCTCGATTCCCTTTTCTATAAGACCAGAACTGTCAATCGCTCCTAGCCCAAGGTGATTGTGAAAATTAAATGACATAGCGTATGTCAGGTCCTGGCACACAGCAAGCACACAGGAGGCACCGGTGTTTGTCAGGCGTCACTTCCCCTTCCCAGACATGCAGCTCTTACCCAGAGATGACTGGCATTTGAAAGAACTTTCAATGATCCTGATGAAGTCCTGCAGTAAATGACTCAGACCCATGAAAAAAATGCCCTGTGAGCTTGGACAAGTTCCTCCTCCCCCTGGGCCTGTTTTGTCCATGGTAGGATGTCCTCTGTTTACCTGGAAGAGTTATGGGTGGATTAAGGGAGAGAGAGAAGAATAGAGTTAGCCCAGGGCTTGCTACAGAACAGGTTGGCGAGGCCTGCAACATCTCTGTGCTCATTGATCACGGCGAGGTGGGAGGATTTCTAGTCTCATTTAACTAAAATAAGAGAATTAGGAAGATTATTTTCCACAGCAACTAAAAATGAGAGACTGTTTAAAGAACTTGCACTGGGTAGTCCAGAGAACCAAGTGTTCACGTGAATGCACCTGTCTAAAAATGAGGGCTTCTCAAGGATCAAGAGAGACCCAAGCCATTTCCATTTTGGGGGGCTTCTGGTATTTAAGGGGAAAAAGCAAGATTGAAAGAATAACGCTAAAGCAGGGTTGCATATATTGCTGAATGTCTTGTGTTACATTTAACAAATGCCAATACAAAAAACTGACCAAACATAACCCTGCTAACCATAAGGCAGTTACCAGATCTATGTAATTCCAGAAATCTTAATTAGTGCACTGCAGGCAGTGTTGGCAGGTAATGGAACTCAAACTGTTTTCAAGCCCCTCGCGGGCCTGCTTGGAGAAAATGCCAACAGTGGCCGATGTCCGGGGTGGGGGTGGCCGTGGATGCGCCCCAGCCCCGGTCGCCACCTATTCCGGGACCGAGCGGGGGGGCTGGATGGGGCGGGCACTGGGAGGCGGCGCGGCCCGGCCCCGGCCCCACCTGTGGATGCCCCGGGCCGGGAGAGCGGGCGCCGGGGTTCGCCCTGAGTCGCGTAGCAGACCCAGCTGCGTCCGCTGCTGCCGAGCTCAGAGCTGCGCACCGCGCCGCCGCCGCGGGTCGGGTTTCCAGCGCTGCTCCCAGGCCACCGCCCAGCCATGAAGATGCATTTCTGTATCCCGGTGTCCCAGCAGCGGTCCGACGCGCTGGGGGGCCGCTACGTGGTGCGCCCAGGGCCGGGGTCAGGCTGGGCAGGGAGGGGGCCGGTGACAATGCTCACCTATCCCTCGGCTTACCCGGGACGGGGTGTCTGTGTTTGCAGCTGTACTCCGTGTACCTGGACGGGTTCCTCTTCTGCAGGGTGCGCTACAGCCAGCTGCACGATTGGAACGAACAGGTGAGCAGGTTGGAGGCGGGTACGAGCCCATCCACTGAGACAGGTGGAGAAAGTTGTCCCCAAAGCGCTCTGTTCCTCTGACTCTGGCAAGACACTGGGCCTTTCAGGGCCTCGGGCTTCCTATCGGGCTTCCTATTGTGAAACAGGGTCGTGGTAAAGATGAACTGAATTGCTTGGCATACAGTTGGATGAATGCACGCTGCGGCTCCTGGTGGCCTACAGCTGTGAGATGAGGGAACGGGGCGTAGGTGATTCTCCCAAGCCCCTCGCAGCCCGGTGATCTCCGCTAGCCCGGCCTGGCAGGGCGCTGGGGCTATGCTGAGCCCCATTTCAGTGCCCGCTGTTCCCCAGGACAATGTCTCCCTCCAAAATGAGCAAACTGGGTCTAGATCAAGGCCTAGAGTCTTTGGAGTCTTGTACATGGGTATTTAATCTCCTTTGTCTCAAGAGTTTCTTAAGTTTGCCCCCTTTAAAAAGGTGTGTCACTAGTTTTGTTTTCGAATGGCCATGAGGCTTCAAGTACTGGCAGGCTGGGAACCAGGGAACATGAGTTACCAAGCTAGCTAGGATTGTTTCTCACCCTGCTGTCTCCACAGTATTTTCTCTGGGAGGCAGACTGATTTATTAGTCTGCTCTAATGGGTTTCATTGTTCTTATAAGGAGGTGTTATAAGTCTTCAAAATGGTTTAGAGAAGTAAATGAAAGTTTAGACATAAGCTTTACCCTCCTCCTCCACTCTCCCATGAATAGTGCTTTTTTTGTTTGTTTGTTTTAGATTTTAGATTATAAAGAGCACATACCTAACATTAAAAACAAAAGTATAGCCCAGGCACCTTGACTCATGCTTAAATACTAATACTTCGGGAGACTGAGGCAGGAGGATTACTTGAGTCCCAGAGTTTGAGACTAGCCTGGGCAACATAGCCGAGACCTTGTCTTTATTAAAAAAAAAAAAAAAAAAAATAGAGAAAACAGAAAAAACTTGCCCAGAGGCAACAACTATTAATTTTTTTTTTGAGAGAGAGAGTTTTTTCAGACAGTCTCTGGGTTTCTAGTGAGTTAGATACGCCATGTTTCATTTAACCATCTTCTGTTGACCGACAGCTTAGTTTGTTTTTTCTGCTATTGAAATTCTCACTGTAGCAAGCCTTCTTGCTCACACATCATAGTGCATTGGAAAGTCCATTTTCAAGGTGAGATTAAGTATCTTTGAAGTCAACCAAGAGCAGTTGTAATGTGGTTACTAGTTAATTTGAGTGGTCTTCTTTGTGTTACTAGTGCTGTGACCCAGTAGGTCCTTTGGAACGATTGTCAAATGATTGAATGAAGAATGGCATAGATTCAGATCTCCAGAAGATAAGAAGCTACTTGTGACTGAAACACATGGGGAATTGTGAGGACCGCAGAGGCAGGGATCTCAGAGGAAGAGAAATAATGGGTGTCTTAGGCATTGGCAGGGGGAGGCAGGGTATCCTCTCCTACCCTCCTCCGTCTTCCTGCAGCTTGAGGTGGGGAAGGGAAGGGAGCAGAGCAGGAGGCAGCAAGACAGCCTGTGACTGATCAACTGCATCCTGGCTGATCGCCTCACCTCTCCTCTGGCCTTCAATTTTCTCATCAGAAATAATAAGCAAATAGGTCCTTATGGGTGTCAGCCTCACAGTTTGCTTGTGAAGATTAGGGGCCAGCTGTTCGTAGAGCCTGGTACATAATGTATGCTCAGCAAACATTTGTGGACTCAGAGGCTTCAAGCATTCCTGAATCCGGCCCTCCTTACCCAACAGACTTGGGAAAATGCTTATTTTCAGGAAAACTCAGATGAACCAAATCCTGGCAGGTCCAGAAGCAGAGGCATAGAGTGAGTAACTTTTATTCTTGATCTTCTATTTGGTAAGATATGAAGTAGAAATTGTCTGTTATTTACTATGGGGGCCTTTAAATAAATATTGAATTACCATGGCTTAGTGCCCTCAATAGGGTATACAATAGATTTTAATAAAATAGATTTTAATAAATATTTCCTATTTGTCCCAGATTTCTCAAAATCCTAAAATGGAAATTTCTTTGTCTAGTTTCCAACTTCCATATATCTTATATCAATATTTATCATTTTCCCCCTTTCTATACAAACTACTACATTTTTAAAGAAACTATTTAGATCTTAGATGGCTGGTGGTATTTATAATCAATATGAAACAATAACAAGTAGTTACTGTGTGCTGAGTTTGGTACCAAACACTTTACCTGTAATAGCTTAATTTTTACAATAGCCTTATTATAGGCTAGCATTAGAATTAGTCCAATTTAACAGATGAAGAAACTGAGGCACAATTTTCCCAAAGTCATATTGTTACTGTTGGAGGCAGGATTTGATTTCCAGAACCTGCTCTGACCTATTACATTAATGTGGTTTCTTTCTAAAGTTGATAAAATAAATCGTATTAGTAAAACAATGAGTCAAATGACTAAGTCCTAAACTAACATACTTTTACTATATTTTGGAATCGTGTAATGAAATAAAATTCCCCAACTTTATGAGTTCAGTGTAATGAATTTTGGTAAATGTATACAATTACCACCACCATGATCCAGGTTAAAAAATTTTTTTGCCTCACTCTAAAAGTCCCTTGTCCTTGAAGGAAACCAAAATATTTTATCCCAAAATGTACTATTATGACATATTTCAAGATGGCTGTGTAGAGAGCTGGAAATATCAGAATAGCTGAAAAGCTGCGTTTTGTGGGGGAGATTTGTACCCGTAGAGAGAATTTGTATTGATGCAGCCAGGCTTTCTCTGAAGTCCTCTCTTGTTCAGATTCAGGAAATAATCACGGAGAGTCTGACACCTTTAAACGTCTGAAAGAAATGTTTACCAACTATTCTCTCTGAGAGCTGCTGCCTGTGGGTTTCCTCTGTATACTAGACCACCTTTGCTAGCCAGGTCTCTCCTCTTCTTACCATGACCTGTCTTGCCACCATAACCTGATTTGCCACCATAGCCTGTTTTTGGCCATGCTCTAAGCCCTGCTTTTTTCTGTAATCTCAAGATGGTATAAAACCATCAACCATCTGGTCATTTCTTTGAGTTCTTATATTTTGGAAGACTCCCGCGCATGTTAGTGAATTTGTATGCCTTTTCTCCTATGAATCTGCCTTTTGTCAGTTGATTTTTCAGTGAAGCTTCAGAGGATGAAGGGGAAGTTTGCCCTTGGCCCCAATATTCTTTTTGCTCTCAATCCCCTTCACTCAGCCCTGACAGCAGGCCTCCAACATCCACTCTCTGTCATGAGAGCTCCAGACACAGGATTTTGTTCCAGCAAGTCCCCAGTGAGGTCAGCAGTTCAATCATCATCATCACTCTCATTTTATAGGTAAAGAGTCTGAGGCTGGGTATGGTGTTTCACACCTGCAATCCCAGCACTTTGGGAGGTTAAGGTGGGTGGACTGCCTGAGCTCGGGAGTTCAAGACCAGCCTGGGAAACATGGCAAAACCCTGTCTCTACCAAAAATACAAAAAATTAGCTAGGCATGGTGGTGCTCCTGTAATCCCAGCTATTCAGGAGCCTAGAGTGGGAGGATTGCTTGAGCCTTGGAGGTGGAGGTTGCAGTGAGCCCAGATTGTGCCACTGCACTCCAACCTGGGTGACAGAGTGAGACCCTGTTTCAAACAAACAAACAAAAAAAAACAGGAAGAGTCTCAGTAGGGTCGCTAGATTTAGCAAATTCAAATACAAAGTCCTCCAGTTAAATTTAAATTACAAGTCAACAACAAACAATTTTTTTTAGTATGTCCCATGCACCACTTGATACATATTTAATTGAGCATCCTGTATTTTATCTGACTACCCGAAGTCTGAGACTGAAGGGTTGGGTGACCTCTCCCAGATACTTCTCAGCTAGTTTTTATTTCTTCTATTCAGTGGAGGATATGAAACAGCTCAGAATTCTTAATCTGATTTAACACAGAGCACTGTCAAAAACGAAATAGTAGAAAGTCCCATCTGTGCGTGTGTTTGGGGAATATGAGTTTATTTCCAGTTTATTTTCTGGGAAGTTCTGCATCCTGATAGGATAGTTTTCATCTATAGAATTAACCGATTATTTGCTTAAGAAATATTTACCAAGTTTCTATTATATGCCATGCATTCTGTTAAATTACGACTATTACTGTAGCATGTGTGATCTTCGGCTTTAAGAATTGGGCTTATATTTTGCATGTTGGATAACGAGATTGAGGGGCAGTACCTGGCACAGGTGAAGTGGCCTCTACTCCATCTCAGCCAGGGTATGTGGAGAGCTAATGCATAAAAACTGGACCTGTGTTGGCCAGGAGCAGTGGCTCACACCTGGAATCCCAGCATTTTGGGAAGCCAAGGTGGGTGGATCACTTCAGCTCAAGAGTTTGAGACCAGCCTGGGCAACATGGTAAAAGCCTGTCTCTTCTAAAATACAAAAAATTAAGCCAGGTGTGGTGGCATGTGCCTATAATCCCAGCTACTTGGGAGCTACTTGGGAGGATGAGAATTGCTTGAACCCAGGAGGCACAGATTGCGGTAAGCTGAGATCTCACCACCACTGCATTCAAGGCTGGGCAACAGAGGGAGACTCCGTCTCAAAACAAAAACAAAAACAAAAACAAAAAGGAAAAACTGGACCTTGGGAAGAGGTGGGTGTGTTTCCATGGGCTCTGCTGTGACCTGCACCCCCTGTCATCTTCACCTGCAGCCCTGTCTGCAGTGAGGCTCCCTCAGGCTCTGGCAGCTTGACCCTGTGTGCTCAGTGCTGCCCGTCTTCCTGCTGTGTGAACTGGCTGGCCCCAGCTTTTCCTGTGCCTTTAGATAAACAAAACCAGTTTGATTTATGCTCCTGCTCTTGCCGGCACCACCCTGCCCAAAGAGATTTAAAGAAATCTGTGAGGGAAGCATTAAATCAGCTCATTTCGACCAAGTTACAGATGAGGCCATCTTGTGAAAGTGACATGGGGCTCTGTGAACAGTGATATG